TAACCTTGAGCTGAGCAGTGGTAAAATGGGTTATAATGGGAATAACAACCAGGTCTCCTATTATATTATTTAATAGAATATTATTTATTTAGTATTATTTATTTAGTACTTATTTAGTAAATGAATAGATTTATTAAATAAATATTAATATTAAATTATTTAATATCTATTGTATTTTTATTTAATTGGATATTATTTAATAATAAAATTTTCAGTTACTAACTGAATATATTTATCTTGAGAATTACAGAGAACAGAAATTGTCAGCCATAGAGTAAGCAGGGTTAGAACATTTTGTAGTAAAAAATAAAATTGACAAAATATGGGGCCAGGAGTTGGGTATAGCTCAGTGGTAGAGCATATGTTTAACATGCTGGAGGCCCTGGGTTCCATCCCCATCAGGGGTGGGGGAAGGAGGAGAAAGGAGTGGGGAAGAGAACGCTACACTTTGGGTAAAAAAAGAAGGGAAAATTTAAAGGCATGCATATATAAGCTTATCTTTATAAAAAGAAACACAAGAATAGTTAATGATATATAAACAAACACAGGAAGGAAAATAATACACTTGGTTACATAGAAGGAGACTCATGGGTCCTGAAGGAAGTAATATTTCTCTAATGATACCTTTTCTGTAAGTTCAACTTTTGGATACATATTAATATTTTACATATTTAAGAAACAAAATTGTATCAGTAAGGATGGGAGGTGGGAAAAATCTAAAATTGGAAATAGACTGAAACAAACCCAATTGCATTTCAAATAAATAAGTACACTGAAAGGAAAAAAAAAAAGAGTATGATACAATATTTAACTATGTAAACTATGTATCCTCAGTCTTGGATTGAAGAGAAGAAAAAATTGTAAACAAGTAGGCTATTTATAGTAAACATTTTTGTTTTCGTTTGGGTGGTGCAATTCTGAGACAATTGTGAATCAATGTAGGATTGAGGTAATGAGTGAATTTGTCATTGTTGTTGGAATCAAGGCTCCTTATTAAGGACAAAAAAATCAGAGCAAGGAATAGGGGAAGGCAAGAGAGAATCTATAGGGATAGATTAGAATTGGTGTGATCTTGTCATCTCTAAAATATGTATGTATGTGTGTATATACTTATGTATGTAGTTGTCTGTATATTTATATGTGCATGTGCATTCACTTGCCCTCTTCACATATGACAAAAATACCCCAGTAACCATGAGAGTACATTGAGAGCCTAGATCTTGGTTTCAATACCTACTAAAATTAATCAACTTCTCAGAGAAATGGCTGCCTCCAGAGATGGGGCAAGTTAGGTTTGGGATGAACCTAAAATATCTTTTTATATTGGGGGGGGGAGGTGGAGGATGGGGTCATGTCAAAAGAGCCTAGCAGCCAGCTTAAAGGGACTCCTGCTGGACAAATCTGGGACACTTGGAGCACCAAGAGTAAGTACAATAATGTGCTATGATATTTTTTATTTGAATGAGGCAACTACATTCTCAAAAGTGACAATGTCATTAAAGAAAAAAAGTGTTTTATAAAAATGATCCACAGTAAAAGAGACTACATCCATCTATTAGCACATTTTTTTTTTTTTTAAATACAATTCTAAGCAGGAAGTGTGAATCAGGCGGTATAGCGATACCAGGTTTCAAACTATATTACAGAGCAATAGTAACAAAAACAGCATGGTACTGGTACCAAAACAGGCGGGTGGACCAATGGTACAGAATAGAGGACACAGAAACCAATCCACAAAACTACAACTATCTTATATTTGATAAAGGGGCTAAAAGCATGCAATGGAGGAAGGATAGCATCTTCAACAAATGGTGCTGGGAAAACTGGAAATCCATATGCAACAAAATGAAACTGAATCCCTTTCTCTCACCATTCACAAAAGTGAATTCAAAATGGATCAAGGAGCTTGATATCAAATCAGAGACGCGCCGTCTGATAGAAGAAAAAGTTGGCTACGATCTACAGTCGGTGGGGTCGGGCTCCAAATTCCTCAATAGGACACCCATAGCACAAAAGTTAATAACTAGAATCAACAAATGGGACTTACTCAAACTAAAAAGTTTTTTCTCAGCAAAAGAAACAATAAGAGAGGTAAATAGGGAGCCTACACCCTGGGAACCAATCTTTACTCCTCACACTTCAGATAGAGCCCTAATATCCAGAGTATACAAAGAACTCAAAAAATTAGACAATAAGAGAACAAACAACCCAATCAACAAATGGGCCAAGGACCTGAACAGACACTTCTCAGAGGAGGACATACAGTCAATCAACAAGTACATGAAAAAATGCTCAACATCTCTAGCTGTCAGAGAAATGCAAATCAAAACCACCCTAAGATACCATCTCACTCCAGTAAGATTGGCAGCCATTAACAAGTCAAACAACAACAAGTGCTGGTGAGGATGTGGGGAAAAGGGTACACTTGTACATTGCTGGTGGGACTGCAGATTGGTGCAGCCAATTTGGAAAGCAGTATGGAGATTTCTTGGAAAGCTGGGAATGGAGCCACCATTTGACCCAGCTATTCCCCTTCTTGGTCTATTCCCTAAAGACCTAAAAAGAGCATGCTACAGGGACACTGCTACATCGATGTTCATAGCAGCACAGTTCACAATAGCAAGACTGTGGAACCAACCTAGATGCCCTTCAATAGACGAATGGATAAAAAAAATGTGGCATTTATACACAATGGAGTATTACTCTGCATTAAAAAATGACAAAATCATAGAATTTACAGGGAAATGGATGGCATTAGAGCAGATTATGCTAAGTGAAGCTAGCCAATCCCTAAAAAACAAATGCCAAATGTCTTCTTTGATATAAGGAGAGTAACTAAGAACAGTGTAGGGACGAAGAACAGGAGAAGAAGATTAACATTTAACAGGGATGAGAGGTGGGAGGGAAAGGGAGAGAGAAGGAAAATTGCATGGTAATGGAAGGAGACCCTCAGGGTTATACAGTGGAGGAGGTAGAGATAGAGGAGGGGAGGGGAGGGGAGAGGTGGGGAGGGGGGAGGGTGGAGGATGGGAAAGGCAGTGGAGCACAACAGACACTAGTATGGCAATTTGTAAATCAATGGATGTGTAACATGTGATTCTGCAATCTGTGTATGGGGTGAAGGTGGGAGTTCATAACCCACTTGAATCAAAGTGTGGAATATGACATGTCAAGAAATTTGTAATGTTTTGAACAACCCACAATAAAAAATTAAAAAAAAAAGAAAATATAAAAAAAATTTAAAAAAAAAATAAATAAATAAATACCAGGGATTGAACCCAAGGATGCTAACCACTGAACCACATCCCCAACCCTTTATGTGTGTGTGTGGGGGGGGGGTGTATTTTGTTTGTTTGTTTGTTTTGTTTTGTTTGTTTTGAGACAGCATCTCACTGAGTTGCTAAGTCTGCTTAAGATCCTCCTGCCTCAGCCTCCTGAGCTACTGGGATTACAGGTTTGTGCCACTGGGCCCAGCTATTAGCATACTCTTCAAATGGAAAGTGGTATTCATTGGGTTAAGATGTTCTCAGGGCAGTCACATCCCCATATGACTTCCTGGGGTCACCTTGATTGAATTTGGTGTATCCTTAAGATTCACATACTTGTCTCTTTTACGTTTTTATCATCTTTATAGATGGCTAATTTCACTCATTATATTTTGACTCATTTTTATAGGGTTAACTAACCATTATAATAAATATGAAGGTACTTTACTCCCTCTACCACCAAATTTTATTCACAAGAATAATTTCAAATTTTGTAATAAAAGGCCTTTAAGGCTAACCCATTCCAGAATATGTTTACTCTTCCCTATGGAATTACCTAGAGAGAGGCTTTATAACCGCTTTCCTGTATAACCCACAGCAAGTACTAGGAATTGAACCCAGGAGCATGCTACCACTGAGCTCCATCCCCAGTTCTTTTTTATTTTTTATTTTGACACAGGGCCCCACTAAGCTGTTGAAGCTAGTCTTGAACTTGTGATCCCCCTGCCTTAGTCTCCCACATCACTGAGAGATTACAATCTTTTCTTTGCTTTACCCCCTCCTCCTGTGTCATGAAGTATAAGTTTCCTTCTCTGTTTTCCTGGCTGAACTACAGATTGTATAAGACTTCCTTGCAATCAGTCACCCTTTGAAAAATGAATAAATGCAGTCTTTCTTCTTTGTTTACCTTCACAAAATCTAGAGACAGCTGTGCATAGTGGCACACACCTGTAATCCCAGCGATTTAGGAGGCTGAGACAGGAAGATTGCAAGTTTGAAACCCTGTTTCAAAATAAAATAAAAATGGCTGGGGATATAGCTCAGCATCCCTGGGCTCAGCACTGAAGTGGGGGAAAATATCTAAAGAGACAGAAAAGTCTAAAAGTATAAAATAACATTCACCGAACATATTCCATTTTTAGTTGCATGTAACATTTTATGGATTTACATAGGACAGTTTAGCTAAGAAAAACTCCCCTCACCATAGTTTATGAGATTCAGCAAGAGAACATATGAAAGTTTTTTTTAGAAAAGTATAAAAAGATTAACTTTGACTTTCCTCTGTAAACTAGGGGGAAAAAAATCCAGGCTATAGGGGAAAATCGTAAAAGAAACTTGGAAAACCGTAATCTTTACAACCTCAGAGAGGGCCATAGTAATTTGAAAATTCTCTATATTAGCCTTCTATTCAAACTATGTATTTGAGTGTATGTGTGTAATATGTATTGTTTAATAATAAAATCACTGCCATTTATTCTGTTTTACAATTTGATTATAAAACAGTTGTCTCAAATAATAAAACATTGTTTGAAAGGAGATCAAAATATGGCAAAAAAAATTTTATCAGTGAATTAAAATGACATTCAGTTTACTGTTTGGTAATAGTTTAGTAAATTGCAAATGTATTAGAAGTGTACATTCATGTTGTAATATGAAAATTACTGAAAAACACCAATGTTTTTCAGCACTAATATATGGATTAAGTATAATTCTGTGTCTATATGTTTCTTTCAGGGCTAGTGGTTGGATTTATCCTAACGATTGCAAATTTCAGCTTTTTTACCTCTTTGCTGATGTTTTTCCTTTCTTCTTCAAAACTCACAAAATGGAAAGGAGAAGCAAAGAAGCGTTTAGATTCAGAATATAAGGAAGGTAAAATTAATTACATTCAACATTACTCAAAATGGTAAACTGTTTTATCCTAACATAAGCTTTTTTTTTTAAATGCAATTTAATAACATAAGCTTTTAATCAGAACATATTTAGACTGTCAGCAGATCATTTTTGAGAGTTACTTTAGTAGCTTTATTTATCATTTACTTTACTGCAATAGGAAATAACAGCAACATTTTAGAAGCTCTAGAGTCTATCGTTAATTATTTTAGATTATTAATACCAGCATAAAATGAGGGTGAATGGGCCATACTACTTTTAAAACTTTAAAAAAAAATTAGTCTTTTTTATTTTTCTACACTTTAAGATAAAGTTCTTATAACTGCATGCATTTCCTTTTGAGAAGAAAACATTTCTTATGTTTTTTATCTACTTCTTTGTTTCTAGGAGGGCAGAGGAATTGGATCCAGGTGTTCTGTAATGGAGCTGTGCCTACTGAGCTGGCCCTACTGTACATGATAGAAAATGGCCCCGGGGAAATACCAATCGATTTTTCTAAGCAGTACACTGCTTCCTGGATGTGTTTATCTCTCTTGGCTGCACTGGCCTGCTCTGCTGGAGACACCTGGGCTTCAGAAGTTGGCACAGTACTGAGTAAAAGCCCACCAAGGCTAATAACAACCTGGGAGAAAGTTCCAGTGGGTGAGTCTTGATTTGAGTTTCAAAACAAAAACAAAAACACCCCTGTTAATGTATTTAAGTGCCTTTTAAGAATTTTATTTGGTTTTCTTAATCGGAAAATTGCTACAGGATATTAAATTGCTGATATTAACTAATATTTGATGGAAACATTAACAAGACCTGGATATACAGTACAAGAATATAGAAACCGACCCACAGACTTAATCAGTGGGAAAGGAAAATATAAGGAATAGAGTTTTTCTTGAGATCCTATTATGTAATAAGTGCTTTTAACATAGTCTTTCAAATCTATTGTTTCGACCAACAGTGGATTAAAAATATCTAAAGAAAAATAATATTGTCTATACTGAACACTTAGATTTTTTTCTTACAATTATTCCTAAATAATACAGTATAATAATATTTAAACAGCATTTGTGTAGTGTTAGTATTTATTATAAGTAATCTAGAGAACATTTAAATTATGTGGAAGGTGGGATGTGCATAGGTTATGTGCAGGTACTACACCATTTTATGTGAGGGACTTGAGCATTCGAGGATTTTGGTATAACCAATCCCGTGTGGATAGTAAAGGATTTATATAGGTATATCTCTGTCCCCTATTACCATTAGCAACTGCTTCTACTTCCTTTTTAAAATCTTCTCTCTTCTTTCCTTTCTTTTCCACCTTCTTCTCATCTTCGTTTTTTATTCCTCTTCTTCATTATCATCATTCTTACAATAGCTAACATTTTGAAGACCTACTATGCTCAAAGCACTATCCTGGCTGCTTTACATAGAATATCACTTAGTACTCATAATAATCATATGAATTTGTTCTTGTATTGTTTTCATCGTTAAAAAAAAAAAAAGGAAACTAAGGCACAGAGAAATAGCATTCTAGCTCCACTGAACCATTCTGGTTCACTGCTAGAATGTTGGAAAGTTACTGAAGAAAAAGGACTATTTTCTAAATAGGCTATAGTCTAGAGATTGCATTAAAGAGAACTCTTTCTAACAAGTACCACATGATCTCACTTATATTTGTAATCCAAAATAGTAGACTGTATAGAAGTTGAGTTTATAATGGTGATTACCAGAGGCTAGGGAGAATAGGGGAGAGAGAGTGAGGGGAAAAGTTTAATTACTGGGGACTAAGTTATATAGGAGCAAGAACTTCTGCTGTTTTATTGCATAGTAGGGTAACTAGAGTTAACAGTAATGTATTGTATATGTTTAGAAAGTTATAAGAAAGGATTTTCAATTTTTTACCCTTAAACATTATAAGATGGTAAATTTTTGAGGAGATATCTATACCCTGATGTGAACACTGCACAATATATGCATGTATCAGAATATTACATGGTATACCATAAATATATACAATTTTGTGATTCACTTAAATTTTTTTAATTAAAAAGAGAACTCTTTCAAGTTAATGTTAATTACATAGCTACCATAATGTTACAAAGCTATGTAATTGACTTTACGTAGTTTTGTTTGACTATGTACTGATTATTAACCAGATGATTTTATTTATGTTTCTTCTTAGGAACCAATGGAGGTGTTACAATGGTGGGACTTGCCTCAAGTCTTCTTGGTGGTACCTTTGTGGGCATTGCATACTTCCTCACACAGTTGGTTTTTGTGAGTGATTTAGACATTTCTGCTCCACAGTGGCCCATTATTGCATTTGGAGGTCTAGCCGGATTGCTAGGATCAATTGTGGACTCATATTTAGGGGCAACAATGCAATTTACTGGTAAGACCATTACATTATTATTGTAATTTATTGGTTTTTCAAAGAAATGGGGGAAAATATGGAATTTTTATTTTAAAGATGTAAAAAGGAAAAGAAACCCAAAGATACAGGATTGTTGAAGGACCAGAAATGACAGGGAAGAATCTCTTCCACAGTTTTTTTTTTTTTTTTTTTTTAATTCTTTTGTGTTAAATTCATTGAAAAAGAATGAGTTCTGCAGAGCAGTGATTAGAAGGGAAGATACATTAGTGCAAGGAATAGACACTTTTGATTATGAGCCATCTAATCCCAGGAAAGTAGGACATTTAGGATCAGCTCATTTTAATGCACCTCCTTCCATTTGTTTTCTTCAAGTCCATTTGATAGATAGTTATTATACTAATATGACTACATACACATTACCTACTTTCCTACTGTGATATCATGCTTGCTGTCTTCACCATTGAGTTTTGGAGTAGTTTGTTTTATTTGAGGTAGTATTTAACTAGATATCCCAGGCTAGTCTCAACTCCTGGGCTCAAGTGATGCCCCTGCCTCAGCCTCCCAAGGAGCTAGGGCTACAGTTGCATGCCACCATTGAGTTTTAAGTCCCACTCAAGGTAAATGGTAGAATCAGTTTTCCTCAAAATTCTGTGTCTTGCTTCTGGTGCTGTCTGGCCCTTTCATTCTACAGATATTTCCTGTTAGGTGTGTATTTCCTGCACATGCTCACCAACTATATTTTCTCCTTTGATTGACATCATGAAGAGACTGAAGGCTAGAGAAGGTTTCCTGAGTTCAGTCCATCCCATGCTCTTCAAACCCAAGATAATCTACTTATCCTTTTATTCCCCTCTCCACTTGTCAGAATGTTTGTTCTCTCAGTTTTACTAATTTCATTCAGATGCTTAGGAAGAAGCAATCTGGTTTTAATTTATACTAAAGAGACAGAGACTCTATCTACACAAATAGTACATGTGGGTTTTTTTGTTTTGTTTTGTTTTTTTAAGAAGCCTAGGTTTTATTTGAAATGGGTTCTAGCAGGGAAAACTTCTTACACTGAGTGAGTTGAAAAATAAAATGTGAGCAGTGGAAGAGGTTAGTTTATTCCCTAAATCTTTGTGTGCTTCTGTTTTAGTCTATACTGCTATGAAAAATGCCTTATATGGGTAATTTGCAAAGAGAACAATAAAGTAATTTACTTGTCATAGTTTCAGAGGCTGGGAAGTTCAAGAACAAGACACTATTCTCTTTCTGCTTCCAAGATGATACTTGTTTCTGCATCCTTCCATGGTGAAAGGCAGACAGGCAAAAGAACAAGGCAGCTCTCAGGAGCCTCTTGTATAAGGGCATTAATCCCATTCTTGAGAATTAATTCCTCATGACTTGATCCCTTCCCCAAAGGCCCCAACTCTTTTTTTTTTTTTTTTTTTTTAAAGAAGAAGATTTTTTTGAGAGAGAGAGAGAGAATTTTTTAATATTTATTTTTTAGTATTTGGCGGACACAACATCTTTGTTTGTATGTGGTGCTGAGGATCGAACCCGGGCCGCACACATGCCAGGCGAGTGCGCTACCGCTTGAGCCACATCTCCAGCACCCCCAACTCTTAATTCTATCTCATTGGGTCTTAGATTCCAACATGAATCTTGGAGGGAGACAAACATTCAAACCATAGCATTCTTTTTTCATCACCATGCTAGGCCATGTGTGTCCAGTGCTGAGGCTATACATTTACCCCTATTCTGAGGAGCCTCACAGGTTGGCTTTGATGGGAAACTACTGGGAAGGCAGGCCTAGCCTGCCAGTTTCGGGCCACCTGTCCTTTTATTGTTCTCCATTCTAATTCCGAAGGAACTCCAGAGGTATTGAGAGAATATTATTGAGATGTGCTGAAACTTACCTATTCAAAGAGGCCTTTTGTAATCAAAGGTTCCATGTATCTCACCATTTAAATTATTCACTAAGGTCATTGTACAAGTCACTGAGAGTTTTTCAAAGGTGGTCTCTTTTGGAGAAAAAGCCAATTTTCTTTTTTTAATCTAGTATCTGAATCTTCTTATTTGCTTCTTTTCTATTCCAGGTTTGGATGAAAGCACTGGCATGGTAGTCAACAACCCTACAAATAATGCAAAGCACGTAGCAGGGAAACCCATTCTTGATAACAATGCAGTGAATCTATTTTCTTCTGTTCTTATTGCCCTCTTGCTCCCGACAGCTGCTTGGGGGTTTTGGCCCAGAGAGTGAACTTTATTTCATTTCCATTGGTTGAAACTGGTGAGTTCAAATAAATTTGCAATTCTAAGTTTTATCCTAACAATAATAATAATTGTAATGTTAAAGTGAAAATGTGAACTATTTCCATATTCTATTATGATGGAATTCCACGGTTTCATCAACTCACTTTAAAAGCTAGTATCTTTCTAGAAAAAGAGAAGATTGCATAGAACTTATGCATATTTTCCTTCTGCTGAATGTAGCTTCTTGATCAGGGGAGCTACATTTTCTCTACATATTGCTATATATCGAACTGAAAGATCTACGTAGTCAATGGAAATTTTATTTTGCTTTGTTTAAACCAGTGTCAGGATTGAGAGTGATGACATTTTAAAATGGTTCCCAATTGTAATAGAAAAATGTCACTGTACAAATTACCCCAATGTTATATTCATTTTTAATGGCTTAAGCTATTTTGTGTGGAAACCTCAGCATACTATCCTGACCTTCTCTCATTACCTTGCCAGTCACAAGTAATTATGAAAAGTGCAAAGATTGGTCCTAGTGAATTATGTGACATTATTCTCTCACTCCAGGTTAATAATAAAAAAGGTAAATTTATTTTTCATATGACAATTAGAAAGTGTGAAAATAATTTCTAACTAAAATCAAAGAAAATTATCTAAAAAAGTGCACCTTATTATATATTTCAGTTGTGCACTGAAATAAACTATATTGAATTCAATTTTTTTCTCTTTTCACATTTTTTCATTGGTGTATTATGGTTGTACATAATGATGAGATTTGTTACATATTCCTATATGCATACAATATAACAGTAAAATTTGGCCAGTATCACTTTCCAGCACTTCCTCTCTCCCTTTCTGCCTTCACCCCGACCCAAGACACTAGTTTTTATTGTTGTTGTTTTATTAGATCATTATAGTTATACACAGTAGTTGGATTCATCCTGACCAATTATGCATAGAGTTTGATTTCAGGTCTCAATCCTTCCTCTCCTCCCCCATTCTCCTTCCTCTACCCTGTTAGACTTCCTTTCACTTACCTATTTTTTTAATTGGTTCTTTTTACTTATACAAAAGGGTGATTTTTTAATGCATTTTCTAGCTTTCTTTTATAAATGACTGGAAAAATACTTTGATTTCCTATTACGTACCTTCTAATTTGTGCCCTCCTTTACACTGTAGCTTTAAAATTTTCAAATTTGTTCTTCACTGTGACCTACCATGTACTAGAAGTTTTAACAAGGAACAGAGTACTTTACCAAATATATCTTAAGATGTTTCTCCTGTCATTTCTGTACCATTCTTCCCTTTCCCCTTAAAGAAGTTGGGAAAGGACTCCATGAGTAAGCCAGCTGAGAGTGGAGACAGCTTAGAATTCTTCATTGGTGACCCAACTATAGTGATGATTTGGAACTGACTGGTTTAGGAAGGAAAACAAAATAGTTTACATCCTTAATTCTTAAGTCATTCAATCAACTCAGTGGATCACAACATTGGTTTTGAAATTAGGTATACTTTGGAAGCACCTGGGAAATTAAAAAAAATTTTTTTTTAGTACCGGAGTTCAATACTCAGGGGCACTACACCCCAGTCTTTTTTTTTTTTTTTTTTTGGACACAGGGTCTTGCTAAGTTGCTGAGACTGGCCTCTAACCTGCAGTCTTCTTGCCTCAATTTCCGGGGATTATAGGTATGTGCCATCGCATCTGGCCTGCGTGTTTTTAAAAATCAAAACTTGTATCTAAGCTCCATGCCCCCAAATTCTGACTTAGCTGATATAGGATATAGCCTGGGAATTGAAATTTTATAAAGCTTTAGGTGCACATGAGATTCATGTAGAGATTTTTTTTTTTTTTTAACTCTGTTACCAAGGCCCTTTTTTAAACCAAGTAAATCAGAATGTCTTAAAATGATGTCCTTGCCTACTCCGCATTGGGTATTTTTACAAAACCCTCTGATAGATTTTAATATCTAGCCAGGTTGAGAACCCCAGAATTAAGAATATCTGTATTTAAAGCACTGTATTTAAAGGAAGCATCAAAAGAATGGAATGTCTTGTTTTTAGGGAGACAACAATCAGCAGAGCACTAGGGTTGATAGCTTCTGGTAATCGTGCACTGTCTTGCAGCTGCATCTCTTGTCATTGCTGTCGGTTTTTCATGCAGCCCATGTGTTATTTGAACGTGCCTTTCCTCTTTTCCTAGAAATTCATCCTCATGACATACTAAGGGACAAAAGTACTTACTGGGACCAGCTTTAGGTTTGGTACAATCACCATGTCATTAACAGTGTGGAGAGAGATTACTATACAATCCTTTGTTTGAAAACTTAGGGTTAGTTGTGTTTTGGGATCAAAATTTTTCAGAATTTAAAAAACTAATAGGATCTACATAGAATATTTCACTCAAAGCTACTAAAAAAGTCCAGGGTAGAAACCCATTATCAAATGCACTCCTACTTTTGTGGTGAGTTATGAATAGCCCTACTGAAGGTGATGACTAAAGAATGTAAAGAGCCTCAGGTTAAGTCATGTCAGGTTTTGTCACCAAACTTGTGAAGAAACAATCCATAGTTCTTGGATATGAAAACTACAGATAAAGAATTGAGGTTCTGTCCTTTTTTTCTTTTTTTAATCCTACGTATATTTTCTGTAACATCTTTTGTTAATTGGATATTTAATTCAACTACTCTTCTTGGGTAGGTGGGCAGTTATATTAAAAACACTTTCATGGAGAGAGCTCCATGTAACAATATAATAAAATATTATGTGCTTCTGCCTAGGTGGCTTAAAGGTGATTATTTATTATTATACTATAACATAATAGAGGACTGCAAAGTGTATGTGGCCCAAGGCAGCTTTTGAAGAAGACTTCAAGAAGAGACATCACATGGGACTACCAGGAAAGCACAGACTTGTCACAGAAGTTCATTCCATCTTTAGTATTTTTCCCTTCTTGAGTTATCTATGCTTTATATCTCTTTCTTGTTTCTAGCTGCTGTAAATATAGAATACTGGCTGCAGAAATTCTAACTCCACCTCAATTAGAAAAAAGAATTATTAAAGAGAAAAATTGTGAAATGAGATGTTTTAAACGTTGCACCTGCCTGCGGTATGAACAGCTGCTGACTATTAATGCACAGTGAATACCCTAGGGCCCAATCATTTGATATTCCTGATATTTTATCTGATGTCCCCAGTACCACCACAATGAGAATGAACTGCAAGCCACCAAATCCCAGATGAATTGTATGCGCTTTAAAAGTGAAAACACAAGACTGAGAATATAGTTGTGGTAGAGCACTTGCTCAGCATGCGTGAAGTTCTGGGTTCGATCCCCTGTACTTCCAAAAAAAGAAGAAAACAATTATTCAGCTTAATTATTTAATCTCCTTATGGAGTATTTGTTGCTCTAACTCCCAGTAAGTCCTGAATATTTTTAAAATATATGAGTGTTTAATGTGTTTGTTGAATTAAGCTGTTAGACTCTAATCAGTGTTTCTCTTAAGAGTCTCTGAAAGTCAATAATTGGAAACATATTCCTGGAGGGAAATAAAAAATAAAAAAAACAGTTTGGCTAATTGAATTTCTGAGGACTGTGATGATTCCAACATTTCTCAATCATGTGAAACCGGTAATGGTTTTGAAACTAATGAGTCAGGAAATTATTGTAGGGGAAGTGAAAAAGTGGCAGAACAGGACTCCTGAAATTATTCTCCCTGCCAAGATTAAATGTCAGTTCTCTTTCATTTACCATAATCTCTCCCTTTAAAATTTATTTTATAAATGTGGCAAGTCTTCTTATATATTTAGATTTTTTCTTTTTTATTAATGTTTAATGTAGTAATAAAATGAATATGTGTGTGTGTTTTTGTTTTTGCTGTACTAGAGACTAAACCTAGGGCCTTGCACATGCTAGGCAAACATTCTACCATTGAGCCACATCCCCAGCCTTGAATCTGTTCTTTTTTAATCATTAAAGATAAAACTAAAATATTCTTTGGCCTTTACTACCCCTTTAGTAATTTTGGCCCCTTTCTGTCTTCCCCAAGATAATAATCACTGGTAAAAATTTGTGATAATTTTTACATATTTGTTTTAGGAGTTTTTTTTTTTTTTTTTTTTTAAAGTCAATTTTATAATTAGTAATGTCTTTTGGTGCTTGAAGCCAGGTTGCTTATATCACCAAAAAAATCTAGCAAAAATAAAAGACATACACTAAAACATCAGTGTGTTATCTGGTAAGATTACAGATGTATTAAATATTACTTAAAAAATTTTAAATAAGTATATAAATTGTATCTCCTTAAAGATGTTAAAAATACATATACAGGGCTGGGGTGGAGCTCAGCAGAACATTTACCTATCATATTTGAGCACCTGTTCCCAGTAGTGGGGGGAAAGAAAATACAAAACTAATTTTAAGTACTTTCCAAAGGTCTTCAATCAAATGTGTTTTTTTCTTTGAATTAAGAAAAAGGCTGAAAATAGACAAATTATCTGGTAATTACCCCTCTTTCCCATATACCCCTCCCATTATTATTTTTAAATGCTACTCTTTCTTTGTAAACTACCTTATTAACAATGAACTAAAAGAATAAAATGGAATTTTAATGTAAGTAATGAACACCCTCAGATTAATTCTTCATATCTTGCTTAGGTATTTGCATTTGGAGTTTTACATGGCAGATAGCCTAATATGGGTCATAGAATTCTAGAACAAAGAATCTTAGGTTAACTTTCCCATGCCATTGCCCAGACACAAAGCTATAAAATACATATATATCTCATATAAGTGAGTATAATCTTTTTTAACATTTTCATGCTTTCTTTTGCATACACTGTCTGTTGTGCCTGGTGTTCTTTTCCTCCCTTATCCATCCTACAAAAACCAGTTCAGTGGCTGTTCCTCTAAGAAGCTTTTCCAGATTCCCTCAGGCAGAATTAGCTATCCTTTATATATATCCTACACTTTAACTATAGCAGTTATCAGACAGTGAGCATTTTTTAAACAAATACCTTCAGTGTACTAATATTTAACCTATTTCTTTAAACTACCAACATCCCTATTGTAGACAGTAGCCAGTGTAGAAAGGGTTCAAAACTTTCTTCAGAACTAAATATAGTTTATATATTATGGGGCTAGAATAATAATAGCAATTGTATTATATCCTCTCAATCTCATCTAGCTAGGGTTTTAAAACGTTGATACCATCTAAGAGTATCAGAAAATAAACTTATTAGAAATGTGCATTTTCAGGGGCTGGGGTTTTGGCTCAGTGATAAGTTCTCACCTAGCACGTGTGAGTCCCCGAGTTCAATCTTCAGCACCACATAAAAATAAATAAATAAAGGTATTGTGTCCATCTACAACCAAAAAAATATTTTTTTAAATGTGCATTTTCAGTACAGATTTTCACATATCTATTGTGCTCATATAGAGTATTATTTATAGTAACTCAATTTATAGTTCTAATAAAATTCTAAAGTTGTCTTTATATTATAAGATATTATTGAACAAAATTAATTTTTATGCACGAGGCTCCAGGTTCAATCCCCAGAGCAGAGGAAAATTTATCAATTTTTTTCTTTAAAAGTGCTACAGTACAGGGCTGGGATTGTGGCTCAGTGGTAGAGCACTCCCCTAGCTAGTGTGAGGCCCTGGGTTCGATTCTCAGAACACATATAAATAAATAAAATAAACATATTGTATCCACCTACAACTAAAAAATAATTTTTTTTTTTAAAAATTGCTATGGTACATTGTGTCCAAATATGGACCTCACAAGTATGTTTGCTCAACTATTGGCAAACAGTTTCTATTTCAGTTACATACTCTGTGCCCTGTTATATATAAAAATATGTTTTGAAATAATTTTTTATATTTTAATTAGTATTTTGATTATATAAAATTTAGAAAATAAGGGTAAGAAGAGGGCAATTTTCATAATTGTACTACTCAGACACAGGCATCGTTAATATTTTAGTATATGTATTCCCCCACTTTTTTTTCAGTACTGGGGATTGAACCCAGAGCCTCACACATGCTAGGCAAGTACTCTATCACAAGCTACATCCTTGGCCTTTTTTAAATTTTATTTTGAGACAGGGTCTCACTAAATTGCCCAGGCTATCCTTGAACTTGCAATTTTTCTCCCAAGTGACTGAGATTTCAGATGAGCACCACCATTCCCAATTATTTTATTTTTTGTAGATGGGCAAATACCTTTATTTTGTTTGTTTATTTTTATGTGGTGCTGAGGATCAAACCCAGGGCCCCTGCACGTGTGAGGCAAGCACAGTACCACTGAGCCACAACCCCAGCCACCCCAATTATTTTTCCCATCTTTTACATGAGGTTTTTTTTTTTTTTTTAATAAAAAGTATCACACTATATTTAGTTTTACATCTTGCTTTCATCACTTAACCCTATGGGATAAGCATTTTATCTTGCCATGAAAAGTTATTTGAGCTGCTGTAAACAGTATGGCTGTATCACTGTAGTATGTAGTCCTTTTGATAAAGAAAATGTTTATATACACAGTGAAATATTACTTAGCCCTAAAAAATAATGGTAAATCGATAGATCTGGAGACTATCATCCTAAGTGAAATAAGCCAGTCCCAAAAAACCAAAGGCTGAATGCTCTCTTTGATATGTGGATGCTAACCCATAAAAAAGGGGAAGACGGAAGAATAGATCAGTTCAGTAGACTGGACAAAGGAAAATGAAGAGAAGGGAGAGGGGTGGGAATAGAAATGACAGTGGAATGAATCAGACATAACTTTCATATGTTTATATGTGAATATACCACCAGTGAAACTTCATATCATGTACAACCACAAGAAGAGATAATTAAAGTTAATTGATATTCCATGTATGTATAATATGTCAAAAATACACTCTACTGCTATGTATATCTAAAACAAAATTTTTTAATGAAACATTCAGATTTAAAAGAATAAAAAGTTATTTGAGCCAGGCTGGTGGCGTACACCTAGTACACCTATAATCCCTGTGGTTTGGGACACTGAGGCAGGAGGATGGTGAGCTCAAATCCAGCCTCAGCAACTTAGGCCCTGAGCAACTCAGGCAGACCCTGTCTCTAAATAAAATATAAAAAAGTCTGGGGTTGTGGCTCAGTGGTTAAGTGCCCCTGGGTTTAATCCCTGGTACCAAAAAATAAAAATTAAAAAAAAAGAAGAAGAAAAGAAAAAACAGTTATTTGAATACTTTACTAATGACTGGGAAGTCCAGCTTAGAAACTGTCACCCTTGGCTGGATGTGGTGGCGCACACCTGTAATCCCAATGGCCTGGGAGCTGAGACAGAAGGATCACAAGTTCAAAGATAACCTCAGCAACCTCGAGGCACTAAGCAACTCAGTGAGACTCTCTCTCTAAATAAAATACAAAATAGGGCTGGGGATGTGGCTCAGTGGTTGAGTGTCCCTCAGTTCAATCCCCGGTACCAAAATAAAAAAATAAATCATAAAAAAATAAATAAATAAATAAATAAATCATCATACTTTAATTTCCTTGAGGGACTTTAGTTTGTTTGTTTTTTTTTTTTTTTTTCCAAATGTGTCATAAGTGGTATAGTGATATCTGCTATCTGGAAAAGTCTATTTTATGGAATTGTTGCATCAAAGTCTACTAAGGAGTATTGCCTGCTTGCTCTTTGGAAAGATTTTTTAGGTTTCCAGAACCATCACCTATATATGATGTTACTAGTTTCACTGCAAACCCACTAGCACAGAATTATCATTGTTTCCTTAATCTCTGCCATTTGGATTTTTAAAAGCCAGGGCGGGGAAGTAATCTTTTTAACTTATATGAATCTTGAAGGACATAGAAAACTATATCATCTATATAATCTTCCAGAGGAAAAGCATTTTGTTTTTCTGTTGTTTTTGTTTGTTTGTTTTTTTAAAGAGAGAGGTAGAGAGAGAGAGAATTTCAACATTTATTTTTTAGTATTTGGCGGACACAACATCTTTGTTTGTATGTGGTGCTGAGAATCGAACCCGGGCCGCACGCATGCCAGGCGAGCGTGCTACCGCTTGAGCCACATCCCCAGCCCGGAAAAGCATTTTGAAATAATAATGTCCTCTGTGCCAGGTATTGTTTTAAACAATTTTCAAACATCAACTCATTTAATTCCCATTACAATCCGATGAAGTATTTACATTATTCATCTTTGTAGAGAACTGAGCTTGAAAAGTTAAATGATGGGAGGGGATATAGCTTAGTGGTGAAGCCTTGCCTAACATTCACAGGGTGCTGCAAAACACACACACACACACACACACACACACACACTTGAATAATAAAACGGAGATGATAAACATTCAGATTAACTAAAGATAGAACTCTAGAACTTGGGGAATTATTATTTGTGCTGTGATAGCAAAACTACAGCTTGTTGAGAAAATTCAATGAGATTTTCCAACAGAAGGAAAAAAAAAAAAACAGGCAATTGTCCTATGAAGTAATAAGAAAATTGAGCCATTGCCAATCAACAGCCTAGTATACTGATTGCTCACTGAGATTTTTGTTTTTATCTAAAGTGATTGTCTGCAAGATTC